ATATCAAGCTGACTTGCTAAAAAGCACAATGGACCTTACAATTAGCTTGTGCCATGAAGTTACATTGTACCATACTCTAGCTGGTTTCACATCCTAATACGATTCCATTCTCACGCCTCTATGCTCCATTGATCATCTAATTCAAAAGTACCCCCCTTACACCTTGCTTCCATTAGTCATACACCTTCCTTTTTTGCCTTATTTCCAAGAGAAGATTCCTGCAGCCAAGCAGGAAGACATTTGGGAATTGTATGCTCCTGTGCCCTTAGGAGGCGGTGTTTAAAAATGACCATCACTAATGGACCCCTGCACCTGCAAAAGCATTTTCTGAAGGGACCTTACTTACTAATTCCCTGAACAGCCTGAAGTCTGCTCTCCTCATGTCCAGAGCTGAGGTTTGCTGTAATTTTCCTCCTGTCAACACAGATTTTAAACTTGATCATTTTGTGGTTATAGGCTCTTTGGGAGGGATAGGCAGGGAAGAAGATGGCCACCAGACTCCACTTCGCTCATGAGATCCATTCTATTGACAAGTGGCAGATAAAGGGGGGCATCCTTTTGTTTTGGCTCCCTTTAGAGCCTGTTCCATGAAGTTGTCATCCAGGTTTTTAGGAATTTTCTGGCCCAGGTTGAACCAGCTGTGTGATGCTCCCAGTTAATTTTTGACAGGGTGAAGTCCCCCATAAGGACAAGGGGAGTTGACTTGGAATTGTCCCTTAGTTTCTTAAAGAATAATTCGTTGGTATCATCCTGGCCAAGAAGTCTATAGTAGACTCCCATGATGACATCCACGTTATTTGTTTGCGTCTTGATTCTTGCCTAGAGGCTCCAAACTGTGCCATTGGCAACCATAAGCTCCACACATTCTAGCCCTTCCATTACATAAAATACCACTCCCGTACCTCTTCTTCCCTGCCTATCCCTCCCAAAGAGCCTATAACCATCCAACAGGGCAGTCAAGTCACAGGTCTCATCCCACCAGGTTTTACATATACCAATGATGTCAAACCTCTGGGACTGGACCAAAACATCGAGCTTCTCTTCTTTGTTTCTCATGCTGCATGCGGTGGTGTAGAAACATTTCAGGTGTGGTACTTTGTAGCCAACACCTTGTGAAGCACACTGAGGGATCCCATTAGTGCTTATTTCTTCCAGTTTTGGAACACCATACTAATCCCTGGAACAACAAAAGTAAAGTGTTCAAGTTGTTCAGCCCAGTCAAATATTACTGAAGTACTTTTATTAGAAAAAACAGGCATTAGTTCTCATTGCTGTCATCAAGAATTGCTGTAGAGGTTTGGAAGTCTCTCCAGGAAGTAAACCAACTCTATTCTAAAAAGTAAATTTTTAAAGTTATAAGTAACTGAAATGGGAAGACTTGCACAGAAATACAGAAGTCTCAGACTGGGAGTAATTTTTGTTCTTGCTGTGTTCTGTGTTGTTTATAAAATTCAAGTTTTGTCAGTTAATAATTGTTTTTCTAATAAATCTTCTAATTAAAAAACTGTGAAGATTATATTACAATGTATTATTTGTTTATTTATCACAAATGGTTCTATTTTGTCTTGAAGATTCAGTTAAAAAGTTCAACTAATTAATATAGGAAAAATATATCTGGATGACTCAGAAAGTTATTACATGCCAATATGATCAATATTAAACTCTTATTTAAGAAAAAGAAATTCATCATCATCATCATCATCATCATCATGGCTAGGCTTCGTGAATGAAGACTTGGGAAAGGCACTATCCACATTTGTTACAAGCACGCTGGTGGCTAATAAGTCCAATACGAGACAGACGTGCCCAATTGCAAAAGGCACAGCAGAAATACTCCTTAGGTGGTAAATTCTGCAAGGTACGATTCTTTCTGCATTGTCTTTTCTCCTCAAGAGTGATCCTGCAGGCATTCTCAAAGGAAGCAGCAGCGTTATAGATGGCGTGTCTCCAGGCCTCCCGGTTGGAGGCCAGAGTAGACCAGTTATGGTGATCAATATGGCCAGGGCTGAGATGTTGTTTCAGGGAGTCCTTGTATCTTTTCTTCAGGGCTCCTCTCTTACGGTAGCCAGTGGCAAGTTCACCATAAAGTAAGATCTTAGAGAGGCAGTGGTCCTTCATCCTTGAGACGTTCCCTGCCCATCGCAGCTGTGTTCTCAGCAACATGGCCTCAATGCTTGTGACTGCTGCTTGTTCTAGAACAGATGTGTTGGTTACAAAATCTGACCAGTGGATGTTTAGGATTGTACAGAGGCAGCGTTGATGGAAGCGTTCTAGGAGTTGCAGGTGGTGGCGGTAGATGACCCATTATTCGGAACCATATAAAAGAGTAGACAACACTATGGCTCTGTAAACACTGATCTTTGTACCTTTCTTCAAGTGTTTATTTCACCAAACTCTTTTATGGACTTTTCCAAAAGCACTGTATGCCTTTGCTAACCTGTTGTCTATCTCTCCATCAATCTTACCATCTGAGGAGATGAGGCTTCCTAGGTAATTAAACTGCTGGACTGATTTGAGCTCTGATTGGCCAATGGTGATATGGGGATGATGGAAGACTTCCTGAGGTGCCAGTTGATAGAGAACTTCTGTCTTCTTTAGACTGACTTCCAGCCCAAAGAGCTCAGCAGCGTCCGCAAAGCAGGATGTTAAATGCTGCAGAGCTGCTTCTTTGTGGGCGACAAGGGCGGCGTCATCAGCATAAAGCAGCTCCTGGACAAGATGGTTTAAGGTCTTGGTGTGGGCCTTCAGTCGCCTTAGGTAGAATAGGCTTCCATCAGTATGGTATCAAATGTAGATACTGTCCTGATCCTTGAGGTCTGCCATGGCCTTTTGGAGCATCATGCTGAAAAAGATTGTGAATACAGTGCGTGATGGACATCATGAATATCTCTCCATTGCACCAAGACATAATCAATGAGATGCCAATGCTTAGATCTAGGATGCATTCCATGTTGTCTTCAGACTATTTTTCTGTTGAAAGATAGTATTAGTGATGGTGAGCTGTTTCTCCACATAGAATTCTAGCAGAAGGTGACCATTATTTTTGCAGTTTCCAACACCATGCTTGCCTAATACTTCTTTCCAGGCTTCAAAGGTCTTTCCTACTCTGGCGTTGAAATCACCAAGGATAATGATCTTATCATCTGCAGGAACCTTTTGGGTAAGGCGGCACAGGTCTGTGTAAAATTTATCTTTTTGGGCAGGGTCAGCTTGGAGAGTTGGGGCATATATACTAAAGAGGACAACATGTTGCTTGTTGTGTAGTGGAAGGCGTAGGGAGATAATGTGGTCAGAGTGACCTGTCGGCAGATTTTTGAGTTTAGGGACAATAGAGTTTTTGATCATGAAGCCAACTCCTAAGAGATGCCTTTCGGTTCTGGTTTTACCTGACCAAAAGAGTGTGTAGCCAGCACCCTGTTCTCTAAGGCTGCCTTCCTCGTGGAGACAGACTTCGCTGAGATCAGCTATGTTGATATTGAGACGTGATAGGTCGTGGGCAATTAGGGCAGAGTGACACTCAGGGCATCCACTATTCGCAGAATCAAGCATGGTTCGGATGTTCCAGCATGCTAAAGTCAGTTTGGTTACACCTTTGGAGGTAGGTGTATGCCTTTGTCTCTTGATCTTTGTGTGACCACATTAGAAGAAGATGTCTGTTGGTCGCAGTTAACCAACTGGGTGAAATGTGGAGATGAGCTTTGTTTAGGTCGTGTTTTCTAGGCCCTTCTCTGAGTGGAGCAAGCAGCGCTGTCCTTGAAAAGGCTGCTTGGTGGTTCAGGGTGCTGCCCCAAGAGACTGTCATCCCCAGTCAGTCTCAAATGACCAATATCCACATGCAGGCTTGGGTCTGTGGCTTCCAGTGCACCTTTCACCTGCCATTTCGACCCTCGCCCGTCGCTACAGGGCTTTGCGAATGTGGGTAAAGCCTTTGAGCCTGCGCAGTGGATTTTTTAGGTGAGACGCAGCATGCACGGAACTGAGCCCATCCTTTAATCCTAAGGTTCATCTGCCAGGGCCTAGCAAGCTTGGACGGTGGCAGCGATCCTCAGGACGTAGGTTTGATTAGAGTGTCCTTCTCTTAGATGGATGGCCTTACAGGGCTAAGTGAGCTCCATCTGCCCCGGTTTGGGATTAGAGTTGTCCTTCTCCAAGGGTGACTGCCAGAAGGCTGACGAGCTCATCCTGCCCAGAGGTGTATTGTGTCTGACCCTACGGTTTTGACCTGTCTGGCATGGGCGACCCTACCAAAGGGATGTACCATTGCCAGCATAGCTCACAACCACATAGGGTTACACAGGCTACATTCCTATTAAAACGATTAGGGCAGATCTTTCACTTCCTACTTTTCTGCCACCTGTCTATATTCAATCCCAAGGAAATACCCAGGAACAACCCTTTGTCCTGACCACTCTTGCGGGATGTAACAAATATATCCAGAACATACTGAGCCTGGGCAGTAGCTGCAGGTGAGCCAAAAACAAACAAACAAACAAAACCCTTCCAGCCCCTGTACCCACCCGGGGCTCGAGTACCTCTCAAGGCCCTAGCCCAGCCGATACCCCCAATTCCCGAGAAGAAACCATTATCCACCCTGACCTTGTCCTCCCTTCACCGTGTTACCTCATATCTTCCCACGCACCACTTACCTGTGACACTTCATGCAGGGCTGGCCCATCTGCCCTCCCTCCCGGCTGCCAGTCCGAAGGACCCCCATGGCCCACCCACAGCCCACCCGGCACCCTTCCCCTCCCCCAGACCAGGCCAGCAAACCTCTGTGTGCTGCGAGGCTTCCTCTCTCCTCTCCCATGAGGGCGCAAGGCCACGCCGGCCAAGCTCCGCTTATCTGTGACACTTCATGCAGGGCTGCCCCACCCACCCTCTCACCTGCCCGCCCGCCCGCCCGTCCGAAGGACCCCCACGGCCCACCCACNGAAGGACCCCCACGGCCCACCCACAGCCCACCCGGCACCCTTCCCCTCCCCCAGACCAGGCCGGCAAACCTCTGTGTGCTCCGAGGCTTCCCCTCTCCTCTCCCACGAGGGCACAAAGCCGCACCAGCGAGGCTCCCCCTCTCCTTTCCCGCGCTGGGGCTGCGGGGCCCCGGGCCGCGCAGTTCCGGTGGGGGGGGACCCCTCCAAGAAAAAGAAATTAAGTACACTATAAAAACCTGACTAATGCATCTTTACCTATAATAGTTTAGAACTATACAGAAATTTTGCAGTGTTGTCTGGTATATCTGAAATATTTTTCTGTAGCACTTGAGGACATGGTTTAATAGTGGGCTTGGTAGTGCTGGGTTAACAATTGGACTTGATGATCTTAGAGGTCTTTTTCAACCTAAATGATTTTGTGATACTACCCCATGGTTAATTACTTATTTTGATCCTTTTCTTCAGTCATTAATAATGCATAAAATGCTGTTTTCTTCATAAAATTTGACTTGTTTATATTCACACTGGTCATGCTATATCAAACCTCTACACCTTGAAATCGTGATTTCAAGGATTGGACTGTGTGGGTGGTGGCTGGGTTTTGAGGTATCAGTAAGGACATGCGTAATTATTGACAGCAGAACACAGGATGAATATTCTTTAATGAAGTGATGCAATGTTGGAATAATTTTAGAGGTGATAATTGTGATTAATGATAATATGAGATGGAATGTTCTTAAATAAAGTATCCTGTGGATGAACTATTTTTTTTTGTGAGATGGGAAGATATTAAGTTAGGAAGATCAGGGGTAGAAAGTACAAAGCAGTATGTGTTGTCAAAGGTGGAAATAGATTAATCACGATTAATTTCAGAAAATTCTGACAGTTCAATCTTTCTCACAAATAAACACATTATTGGAATTATATGAAAGCAATAAGCTTGAGAGTTAAAAAAATTAAAAATAACAGTCTTTTTAAAAATAAACTTTCAGACTGAGACTGTGCTACCTCTAAGTGTTCAGCTCCCACTAATCTCAGTTCTGCTGTGGACTGGATGCAGGGCAATACCTAATCTCTTACTGTCACTGCAGGATGGTGGAGCTGTTAGATGCTGGTTGAGTCAAAGTCCTTTCAAAATTTCTTATGGAATTTATACCTGGTCTCTAAAACACACTCTGCTGCAGGTTGATATACAGTCTAACTCCTGAGGAGTCATTACTATCTATCACTTCAATGATCTGCTGATAATGGGAATGTATCACTTATGTGTTTAATGGATCTGAAAGAAATGGGTCTATGAAAATTGCACCACATCTGCAGAAAGCATCAGGGACTCAGTGGGAGTACCTGTAGACTCCCTGAGATCCTTGGAGGATGTTATTATGTGTGAAGAATATTAAAAGTCTTCAAATGAGAAAGTCTGTTATAATCTCCTTCATTAATCAAAAAAAAATCAAACATGCCAAATCTGAACACCACGTCGTCTAGACAATGGTAGGCATAATTCAAGCTTTTTTCTAACATTTGCTAGAGTTTGGTTTATTTCAGCATGACATTACAGTGAACTCAACTGGTGTTTTTCTAGTTGGATTTGATTCTTGGTCTTTACCTTTTATCAGCTCTGTTAGTGGGCTGCTTCTATGCATATATGAGAGCAGGGGTGAGCTAAGGACAGAGCAACAAACCTTAACTCTAAGTTTCCTGGCTGCTCTTAAAACACTGGTGGTGGTGTAACATCCTTTCCTACTGTAAGAGCATGCAGCTGTAGACAGAAATATAAATACGTCTGTCTTTGATAAATTAAAATCCTAACAGGTGTGTAAAGCCTTGCCAAGACAGTTACAAGCTGGTCAGCATATATTGCTTGCACTTGGAAGTGGTACATTAGAGAACACTTGACTGTTTCACTGCTTTATAAATAGATGGATTTGGCATTTCTGCAATCATCTGCAGAGGGTAAGAAAGTAATAAATGAATAAAAGTAAGTAGAGATCATGTTTCAGAGTCCTGTAGATGAAATTACTTGATCCCAGAACATGTTCATTCCTGTCGTTAGCTTTTCTGATCTTTTGTGTCATTTTTGGTTTGATAGGAGCAGCAGAGGGATGAAAGCTGTCCTAGTGCTGTGGGTGCTAGTCCTAGACCTCAGAGACCCCAGATCAGTTTTCTTTTCTACCATAGACTTCCTAAGTGACCTTGTACAAGTTTCTTAGTCTGGTTGACATCCAAAAAAGCACTTAGGAATCTAAAGTGTAACTCAAGCTTAATTTAGGCATCTTTGTTCAAGGAAGTGCTCTATGAAAACTCAGCCAGCTTAGGTGCCTGAGAGGATGCGGATGCCAACTTTGTCTAGGAAAGAAAAAATAGAAAAAGATCATTTAAATGTATCCAAAGACACCAATGTCCTCAGACGGGCTGAAAATAGAAGTAGGTTCATTTGGAGTCTCTTTAGAAATGACATTATCGGTTATGTCCCTAAAGTTCCTGGTCTGCTAGATGTCTTTTGATTGCTTGGCATGTGTGAGGAGTCTTGAGTTCAGCACAAAGTGTGGTAGTTTTGGTAACATATATGTATATAGTTTACAAGCTTGAAAGAAAAATGTCCAGTCATCCACCTCTTACATAATTCCAGTGGATATAATGCTTGGAGAAGCTGAAGGAAATGGTCCATGAGTCATTTTGGTTACTAAAAAATGAAACACTGTGCCTTACAATTTTACTTTCTCCTGCTCTTCCCTTTGTTCTCCAACAGGACTACTTTGAATGCCCTTGGCTCATGAATAGCCAAGTATCTTAGGATCACACTAATGAGAATAGAGGTTTTCCTTCCTTGGTTATGTCACGGAATCATTTGCTTTCCTCCTTTGTAGGTTCAGTGGTGTTTAAAATTTACTAACTCTTACTGTGGACTTCTCTGGGATTAGGGTAGGCAGACTGTGGAAGCTGTGTTATGCAGAAAGGGCAGTCAAGGTTCACAAAAGGAGAAATTGCACATATGTGTGGATAAGACACATGACAGCAAAGCCTGTGGTTAGAAGGCAGAGCCCCTGGCTCTACTTTCTGCTTCCACAAGAAAATATTTATCCATTTTACCCAACAATTGTACTACAGTGTGCAGAAACTGTCTCTTGGTAGAGACTATATAGTCACAACTCTTGCTGGGTTGTAGGTTAGACCTACTTCTGGTTGTACTTCTCTGCTCCTCCCTGAGGTGAATTTTGGAAACAGAGTTCATATTTAGGCTATGTCTATTGCTCATTTATGTACAAAAGCCCTCAGCTCTTCCCTCTGAAGACCGCAGACTCTATTATCCAAACTTCATTTTATCTGCTCCCTGCTCTGGCGGGTCATCCTGCACTATGCCCTTTCCCCCTTTACCTTCATTGTTAGTTTGGCAATTAAGAAATTTTAAAAAGTATGAGACATGAGTTTATATGCTTTAGATTTAGGAGGGCTTAAAGTCTAGATCTTCCTCTTTCCAGGCAGATGTGCTCTAAACATTTGTCTCCTGCCATCTTTCTGTGTCCTCTTCTACCTTTATAAAAATTCCTTGTTCTGTATCAGACTTTTTCCTTTAGATGTCTTAGTCCATCACAGACATGAAGTTCTGAACCTGTAAAGATACCAGACTCGCAGGTGTCTTTAGGCAGAGCAGGCAGGATTTGAGGAAACATTCAAATTTAGTGCTTTGTATTGACATCTGTGAATCGTCTTCTGAAAGTTGGATCTGATTTTCATTATATCAAAAACTTGATTCCGGGAACTATATGTTGGGGCGGGGTATTGAGTTATGATTATGTTCCTCTGTCTCAGAGGTCTGGGTTTGTAAAATGAGGATGGGATAACTTGCAGTAACAATAACTGTGTAACTAGATTTTGCAATAGGACAGTGCAATTTAAACATTATATGCTACTTGGATATCAAAGTAACAGGGACCATGTAAGAGGGAAGGACTGTCCACTGAAATTAAGATCACTGAAATCAAGATCACTGAAATCATAAAATAAAAGCCCTTTCTTTCTCCTTCCAAGCATTTCCTGGTCTAATATGGGATCAATAGAAATCAATCCAGGTTCTGGAGACAGCAAAGTGTGTTTACTGCATGAGCCATTTAAGTCATCTCAAAAGAATGAACTGGTCTGAACAGATATTTTAAAAGCTCTTCATTTTGGCCCCAAAAAATTTTTTATTGCCCTTGTCTCCCTTATAATACCATTTTTTTGTCATGTGGTGTATTCCTGTAGATATATTCATGTTGGAGTCATTGTTATCTGTATTCAGAAACTTGCATGAAGGCTTAACTGATGGTCAGGTACCTGCAGCAGTATGGGATTGAGGGTGAGTTTTGTCATCTGGGTGCTTATAAAGCTTTCTGACTGCAGTTTGAAGGACTACTTGAACTCCAGTTTCTGCAGATGTATTTATAATAAGCTTATGAGGCATATTTGTCTATATCTGCTTAGCCACTGTGGTTGCTTCAAACTATTACATACAGTTTGATGTGGTCCATGTGGGCTTTTGGGTGGTGCCTCCCAGAGTTAGAGTAAACAAAGAAGTAATCTTTCTTCTTTTCCCCACACTGAGTAATAAACAGAGTTTTTTGGCTAAAAAAAATAGATCCAAAGCACATCACATATTTTAATAACAAGCTTTCTCATAATAACACAACATACACAGAGATAGACTTTGAAATTAGACTGGACAAAAGACCAGGAAGCATTCTTTGGGGAACTAGGCTGTGCTGGCAGGAATGGCTCATCTAATAGACATTTTAGACTTGTAATGTCCATGAATCACAGTTCCAACCCACACATCTTAAACACCAGTGTTTCCGAATCCTTGGCAAATATGTGACCAAACTGAAATGCATTTCATTATGAATATCAGCAGATTAAGGTGATTTCAAGATTAAATCACATGAAAAAACAGAAAACAATTTCCTTACATCTTGTGTTCTAGCCAAAACACTGTGGTCTTGCATCAAGACAATAGAAGTTATTAATCCTGTGGGAATTTCAGAATGAAGGTTAGTAAATGTAGAACATTCTTTCTAATCCCTTTTATTTTCTGCGATTTTTTTATATGAAAATGTGTATGCAATATTTTAATCTATTCTTGGTGGATCATTTATTTTGATTTGGAGATCAAATAGCCCGAAATCATTGAATAAA